TCAATGTTTAATTGTCAACAAATTATCAATAATTTTATGAATTTTGTTATTCTTTATAATCTTAGCTTTATATTACTCAATTTACATAAGATACTCATAGTTATCAAGTTCTATGTTAATTTCCGTTGATATTTATAAATTTAGTGAAAAAATTAGAAATTTAGAAAACACACAACATTCGCATTTCAATACAGAATTAAATGTGTTCAATCTCTAATTCAATACAGAAAAACTTCGACAATCAATAATAATTGATAATAATTCTTGCAATCAATGCAAATTCTTTCGTATTTTTTTTTAAACGTGTAAATCTGAAACCCGTACGGGTTATAATTTAAACTGTAAACATTAATTATGAAAGTTGTTTGCTTCATAAGTGCACAAACTGGCTAATACTCATAGTTATCAAGTTGTAAGTTACAATCTGAAGACATAATTTAAAAATTCAATAATACAACTTTGTCAACAAATTATCAATAATTTTATGAATTTTGCAATCAAACATTTACACATATTTTATTCTTTATAATCTTAGCGTTGATTGCATTACTCAATTTTACATGAGTTACTCATAGTTATCAAGTTGTAAGTTAAAATCTGAAGACGTAATTTAAAAATTCAATATTTCAACTTTGTCAACAAATTATCAATATTTTTATGAATTCTGCAATGAAACAATTACAAATATTTTATTGTTTATAATCTTAGCTTTGATTTCATTACTCAATTGTACATAAGTTACTCATAGTTATCGAGTTGTAAGTTAAAATTTGAAGACATAATTTAAAAATTCAATATTTCAACTTTGTCAACAAATTATCAATATTTTTATGAATTTTGCAATAAAACAATTAAACATATTTTATTTTTTACAATCTTAGCTTTGATTGCATTATTCAATTTTACATGAGTTATTCATAGTTATCGAGTTGTAAGTTAAAATTTGAAGACGTAATTTAAAAATTTCAATGTTTTAACTTTGTCAACAAATTATCAAGAATTTTATGAATTTTGTTATTCTCTATAATCTTAGCTTTAATTGTACTACATGATATTAAATAAGATACTCATAGTTATCAAGTTCTATGTTAATTTCCGTTGATATTTATAAATTTAGTAAACAAATTAGAAATTTAGAAAACACACAACATTCGCATTTCAATACAGAATTAAATGTGCAAGTTTTCAATCTCTAATTCAATACAGAAAACCTTCGACAATCAATAATAATTGATAATAATTCTTGCAATCAATGCAAATTCTTTAGTATTTTTTTTAAAACGTGTAAATCTGAGACCCGTAAGGGATATAATTTAAACTGTAAACATTAATTATGAAAGTTGTTTGCTTCATAAGCGCACAAACTGGCTAAAAAAAAATGCAACTAAATGGGAAAAATAATTATAATAAATGTAGTTTTTGAAATGAAAAAAAAAATACGCTTCATTTAAATAATATTTATACAAAAAACAAAACAAAAAAATTATATATATTTTTCCACATTTAATATTTGCATATGAAATGAATGCGTTCGGCAAACGTAATTGCGGATAATTGATGCATTCGCCAATAATAATAAACACATTAATTTTCATTGGAATAGTTCGAATTCTGTAACGCGCGCGCGTTTTAATTGCACGCAATTATAAGTAAATAACTCACCTTCTTTTTGCTTTTGATTTTCTTCCTTTTTCTTCTTCAACGTTTTCCGTTCCGTTCCGTCAGATTACCGTTCTGGATATTTCCATCCAAAAGAAAAGAACTGGATCAACACGCTCGAGCCTACAGATTCCAAACAAAACGAAATGAAATGACATAACTTAATTACATACCGTAAATAATTTAACGTTAAATTCAACTTGTAATTATTTGCGTTACATCTGGATTAACTACGTCAATTCATTAATTTTATGAAAAATCTTTAATTAATGAGCAAATTCTTAATAAAACTTTCAAGTAAATCTTAATAAACAACTGTGAAATTTATAAAATTATATAAATAATTAAAAAAATATATATAAACATAATTGATCATAAATATAAATTGACTTGTTTATTACAAGTGTGAAAATACGTTCGCGTTTTAAAGAATGTTAATTATTTTCCTTGATTATTCATTTTATAAACGTTAAAAACAAATTTATTATAATTGATAGTGAGAGTAATAAATTTATGTTTGCTGTAGAAAATAACTGCTATTCGCATAAGTTGTAATTATAAGAAAAGAAAAAATCTAATTGGAAGTGTTGGAAATTTAAAAAAATTCCTAAGAAAATCTCTTAAAGTGGAAAATTATTATATATTTTTTTTAATAAACGGATCAAGAACTGAAATAAATTAGCAATTAGATTGCATAAATGAGCAAGTCATAAATCGAATGAAATAATGCGTTACGTGTGCACAGTACATGTGTGCAATTGCGTAATAAAATGATCGCAAACAAAAAAAAAACTTTCATGGAATGAAATCGTTGGTGTTTTTATCAGGAACGCGAACAAATTTGGAAAGTTTACGCCTTGTTTTCTGCACACAAAATGTAAGTAAATAAATAAATAAGAGGGAGAGAGAAATAAGAGAACCGAATAAAAGCTTTATGTTTGCGAGTTCTGTTATCAGGGAAACAAGGCAACGAACACAGGATTTGCATTTAGCGAAGTGAGAGTGTTTGTTGTTAATCGAAACTGGATATTGGATCACTTCGGAAAAAGAAACGTGTAAAAAAAATCGTGTTACAAATCGTGCTTTAGCCTTTGGATTTTTCATCAAAAATCCATTAAAAGAAAACAAAAGAGAAAAACTTGAATGCTTAATTAAATTACTAATAATATTGGATTGTAATCTACACGTCTAATCATGTTGTTTAAAGTTATATAATCGCAATCGAAGTAGCCATGAAATGTGTTTTGTGTCAACTGGAAACAAATAAGGGTTGGATGTAGAGGACCAAAATTGCACACGCCCACGAAATTATGCAACACTGGATCATCGATCGAAACGGACTTTAACGCAACGAACGAGAGCACGCAAAAAGAAAAATAAACGCGAGTAATTAACGTACGCATATGCATATAAATTCATAAGTTTAATATACGACCGGTCTGTAATTATTGTTTTCATTGACACGGATTGGAAACGCCGCAATTACGACGCGCCGTTCATTAGCTGAGACCCCCCCATCGCGCGTTTCGCTTTTGTTTTTCCTTCTTCTTCTTCTTCTTCCTCCTTCCTCCAGCCAATCGCACATTATCTACCGACGAAGTTTCTAAAGCAATTGCGATAATGGCTCGAAGATCGCTGCCGAAGATTTCAATTGAATGGATACGAGAACAACAACAACAAATAAAAAGTAGAGGAAGAACTTTGTGTGTTGCAACGTGTGTGTGTGTGTATGTAGTACGGTAACGCGTTTGGAAACGCTGTGCCATCGGAAACAATGGAAATTATTTATTGTAAAGGCCTCATGCACTAATAAATCTTACCGGTGCATTGCACAATGGACCGATTCTTCTACGCTCTTTCTTCTCCGCTTTGTTTTTTTCTTCTTCTCAATTTCTTTAATGCTCTTATCTTATAATGAAAATGAATTAAGTGTAATTACCTTGCGTTAGAACAGCAACCGGAACCACAAGCACAGCTGATCAACAAATACCAACTGTCACCGTTACCAACCATTTTAATATACTGTAACTAAACTATCCTAGTAAATAAATATTACCAACCATTAAATAATTTAATAATTTCATTTGTATTAAAATTGCAAAGATTCAGAATCTGGAGAAATACAACAATAAAATTTAGGATATAATTTGAAATAGTAATTGTTTCAAATTGAAAACTTCATTTGTTTATTAATATTATTTTAGTTACTAAAAATTACCAACCTTTAAATAATTTAAATTTTTATATATTTATTGCAATTGTAATTTTGACAATTACAGTTTAGAATTTAATTGAAATATTAATTATGTATCAATTTTATATTTCTATTAATAATAATAATTGTGTATGTTTTAATAACCTGACGATAATTTGATGTTTCTGATGTGTAGGTTGTCATGGTTACGGTTGTTAATTTGTAGGAGGATGACGGTGTGTAGTATTTATACAGGTGTGCAGTGGCCATTGAAACGTTTTCTATACATATCGACTTTGGAAACGAGAGATGCATATGCATTTCGTGATCACTATAATAATGTTCTCGTAAAACATCTTGAGAGCACGGGGCTCTTTCGCGTAATAATATATATATATCGCAGTCGTCGTCCTGCTGCAACATCCTCTTCGTCCTCCTCTTCCCAGCCTTCTTGGACTTGAACTTGGTCTTCAGTTTGTTTTTTTTGTTATGCACACACATACATATTTATTTATATAGATATACGTAAGAGATTGAACTTCGAAAACACATAATTCACAAATTTACATAGCCGACTTCTTTTTTTCTTCTTCAAATAAAAGTAATAAACAAATGAAATGATTATTCAAGTTACATTTTGTTTTGACAATTAACAAGTTATTTATTTACTATAAAAACTTTTAACATCTTTTATCACTTCTTTTGACTTAATTTCTTTAGAATTTGTTATTTTTCTTCAAATCAAATGATTATAATGGCATTGGAAATGAATCACAATTAAATGTCAAACAGTTATGTCATTGATGTCACGAATTTTATTTTCCAACGCCTTCTTAACATATTAATAAGAAAACTTCAATTAGAAACAAATGACGTAAGATTAAGCAGATGGAAACGTAACGATTGCGAATATGCAAATATATCTATCGACTTATCGAGGTATGACAAAGTTAATGATGACCTAAAAACGGAACGCAAAATTGCATAATTGCGAAACTCAATCAATTGTTTTCTTCTTTTGTTCTCTTCTGTTCGTTCTCGCAGACTTCTGGTCAAGTCGTAACGAACGATATTAATATTAGCCTGCGAGGATCCTCAATTAAAACTAATGACGCTCGCAGAAGTCGAGGTGAGTTCTTCGCATAACCTACATTAACATCTCGCTTTTGCCATTAGCGATAATTAAATGAGCAATATCGTGTAATTACGGGTGTATCGGAAGACCTTAACCTAGGACACGTCGTAAACGCCGACGACCGCGCGAATTAGTGTCTGCTTACTTACTTATTTACTTATCCTTTCTCCGTTTTTCTCGGTAACAGATCCTCTTTCCAGCAACAGCGTAATTACAGGTAACGTCCCACCGTAACGAGCCAAAAAAACAAAAACAAAAAACATAAATAAATATTTCGTGACGATAGAAAACAACAAGAAAAATATATCTTTTGTCAACTTTTCCAACCAATTACTTCAGTTAGTCTAGTTTGAGACGCGTGGGTGGTCGATGAATGACTTGCGCTTCTTCAGATGTTTTGTTCATTTATTTCTTTTGTTTTCTCGTAATCTCAGAGCAATCCATTCAAATTTGTAGCTGAAATTAATTATGATCCATACATTTATAATTTTATCATCGCAAATTATTTTGGATTAATGTTATTTGTAAATGTATAGTTTTTGTTGTTGTTGTAAATATTTGAAGTAGGAAATGAAGCATTGAAGAAGCATGTTTTGTTCATTTATTTCTTTTGTTTTCTCGTAATCTCAGAGCAATCCATTCAAATTTGTAGCTGAGATCACTTAATTATGATCCATACATTCATAATTTCATCCTCGCAAATTATTTTGGATTAATGTTATTTGTAAATGTATAGTTTTTTTGTTGTTGTAAATATTTGAAGTAGGAAATGATGCATTCAATGGTAATCGAAATCTTCGAAGTTAATGTATGTAAGTGAGTAAGTCAAGAAAGTCGATTGTTGAGTTGGTTTTGCGAGACGTGGGCGTCGTGTGTAAAGAAGGTATCGCGGTGAACCGGGCGAGAGAGGTGGATTGATTACGTGCAGAAGAGTGATTTATTGAGTCGGGATCGGAGAGTACGCAAGAAGCCGGAGCAAGAGGAGAATAGCGAACAATGAGAGTGCGAGTGAGAGAGAATGAACAATGAACTATTTGATATTAGGATTTACTGTTAAACGCGTTGATTGTTTGCTGTCGCGCCAAGTGCATAAACAAAATAAGGGCATCCATGTGTGTACTGCACACTTGCACTATATAGATGCATTTTGTGTACGCGCGGCGTAATAAAATGTGTGTGAGGTTGGGAAGGAAGAACTGAAAGAGAACCATCGAAGTCTACCTGTCGCCATGTGAATTTAATTTAGGACCGAGAGCCGAGAAGAAAAGAGACACCGAAGAGAAGAAGTCTCTCCGACCCAGAACTTGAGAGAAGGAGCGAGGAGCCGCGCATACCGTCTGTGTGTATGTGTAGTATATACACTAACTTCTCCTCCTGCAAAGAGACGAAGCAGGAGAGGAAAACAAGCCGAAGGATAAGAAGAAGAAGATGACGGTGAAGAAACAATGGGGCGGCGGCCTCCTCTTCTCTTCTCCTGCTGCATTTGCTGCTGCTGCTGTTGTTGTTGTTGTCGATGTTGACCATAACTCGACCCGAGTATATTTAAACTAAACGGAATGAATATTGCATGCGCCTTCTTCATGGAACGATACCTACGTACAGAAACACAGAGAGAAAGACCCGGGCCACATATTGCCTCTTGCGGATCGTTATGTCTTCGCATAAAGTAGATTTATATCGTCCGGTCATGTGAGAATATTGCGCTATTACTTCTTCCTTACCTTTTTTTTTTTATTATTATTCTTAATTTTACGGCTCACGTATTTTGTAACGAATCCTACCAGGAAGAATGTTCCAATTTTAGCGCTGAAAATGAAAGGAAACAATAAAAAAGGATTGGGTTTCAAGTGTCTATTTGAACGACCCGGCCAAACTGGTCTTCGGCTTTTTCGTCGTCTCTCGCAAATAACCCACAACAACAACAGATGATGAGGATCATCGACTGAAAAACATGCAGAAAAAAAAATTCTATTCACATCCAATCCAATTAACTTTCATTTACTTCTTTTATTTTCTACCACCTCTTTGATTTATATCCTCAATGATTATTATGTTGAACTTCTCGATCAAAATTATGGTTGATTCCAGCAAAGGAACTCGATTTAATTATCATCATTAATTCTTTACTTTCATTATAAATTTTCCAACTTTTGATTTATCCTCACCGATTATAGTGTCTTCGCAATTTAGTGATTTCTCAGAAACTATAGTAGATAGAATGGATCCAAAAGATGCATATGAAAGTTGCAAATTTGGGTAATGTAACGTGTATTCAAATATTGTGTTTTTGTAATTACT